GGGCCGGCACCTATTAGCTGACTGCATCCCACCATAGGATATGGCCCCCTCCTTTAGGAACAAAAGTATAAGGGGTCATTCTCCCCAAGAGAGTTCTCTCCTCTATTTTCCCGTAGGCCTTTTAAGGACCTGCCTAGGTCCGAAAGTTGGAGATTCTAAGGGTGGGCATGTCAAATCAATTTGAAATTGAAAATAACGACGCTAGCTAGCTATATTTTTACAGATTTTTTATTATTAAGTTAATATTACGAAAAACCCCAAATTGATACACTTGTGATAAATTTACCCAAAATGACCACAAAAAACTCCAAATAGATATATTTGTGATAAATTAATCTCAAATTAATTTTTTGACCGCAAAAAAAAAAAAATCCAAACCGGTACATTTGTGACAAATATATCATCCTTTAAATTGGATTAATACCACAAAAAATCATAAAACTGATACAACTGTGACAAACGGAGCGTAAAATTTTAAACTGGTATACTAGTCAACTGTCAGTGTCATCCAACTTGGTAATTTAACAGTAAAATTTAATGAAAACTAACAAAATAAAATTGTCGCAAGTGTACCAATTTAGGCTAAATTAGTAAAAGGTGCACTACTTTGGGGTTTTTGGAGGTCAACAAATTAGTTTTGGGTAAATTTGTCACAGATGTACCAGTTTGAGATTTTTTTGTGGTATTAACTCTTTATTATATGATTAACATTTGCAATATAACCTGTATAATTTCTTTTTCATTGATATCGCCCTTCCATCACCATTCATTTGAGTAGTTATTACAATTTAAAAATATAATTACTCACATCAATGAGGGTAGTTGGCACTCACCTTGGCCGGCAATCGTTGGCCGATGACCTCGCTAGCCCACAGTTGGGAAAAAAAACAGAGAAAGGAAAGAAATGAAAAAGAAAAAGAACAATAAGAAAAGAAGAGAAAAAAGAAAAAAAGTAATAAAATTCAGAAAAATAAAAAATTGTTCACATGAACACCGGCCATGCCACGTAAATCGTCTAGCCTCAATGTTAGTGATTTTCGGTCAAAATTGGTTGAATGGACTCCATTGGTAAATTGTCAAAATATTTATGATTCAATTAGCAAAATTGAAAGGTTTGAGACTGAATTGGCACAAAAATAATAAGTTTATGACTTTTTTGGCATTTTTCCCCTAATATCTCACTTATACTAAGCTCAAGTTGTAAATCAAAATAAAATATCTTATCAAGACTATTAATCTCACTTATACTACATTTTACATAGAAAAAAAAATCATAGTATGAGTAGGGATTAGTAAGCATCACAATGGAGAGAACACGGCGCTGAGCAGTGTGGCTATGGCTATCTTGGTGGCAGCTAGGCTTTTCACGGTGGTTGGGACGACGGCGAGCAATGACAATGGCGGCACAGCGCGTGGAGGTGGCTCAGAGGGAGAGGAGAGAGAAATTGGGAGCAAGAGTTGTCCTTAATGGGTGTGATTTTTAGAGAATGCGGAGGCATTTTGGCAAAGGTGAGCATTTGTGGGAGAAGTGGATTGATTTAAAAGCCCTCAATTGGGTTGCGGAGGTATCCGTATATAAAGCGGAATTGAATTTAAGATGAAAAATTATTTCTAAATTTGGATGATATGAATTCGAAAGGTTAATAGGAAAAAAGGCGTCTCAAATATCCAATGTCTACCTTGACAACAATTAGCTAAGCCAAGCATCTAAATCACTACGTGACTATTTACCTTGCTTCTCGACTTTGTCAAGGAGGTTGAAAATACTTGTGATTGCTTTTTTAGAAGTTATTATTTGATTTGATTTAATTTAGGAATTGATAGAGATTCAAAGCATTGTTTTTTTTATTTGTTGTCAGGAAGGCTACTCTGAACTAGTATTAGAATAGAAAGGATCAATGCCAGACCTCGGAATTTCCTTATTAAAAGTAGAACATTTATCGGTAAGTAGTGATTTTAACAGCATCAAATATCTAGCAAGTGCGCTTTATGTCAACAATCAATACAGTCACCTACTCACCATCAAAATGGAGCTAAATCTCACAACACTCCAAGTCTCCTTTGTAAAGTCAAAGATCGCTATGGCCTCTCCACATGCCTTGTGTAACATCCTCAATTTTAGTCCATGGGAAATGGCTATGGTTTAAGTTTGGTAGTTTTTCAATTGGAACCAAATTTTTACTCTTGTTTTGAAAAAACCAGTTTTGGATCCTTGGTACCCCTTCGTTTTGTTATTTTTGGGAAGACTTTTGTGATTCGAATTTCTAAATACTTCCTTTTTGAAAGTTTCTCCAAACATCTTGAAGTTTTGTATACTTTAATTTCAGAATTTTTGGACTTGATATGAGTGGTACGATGGCCTGATTTTCAGACCTTGTAAAACTACCCAGAATGGGTATTTCGGTGATGTTCACCCTTCCTTTATTTCTACAAGCTTTTCTGGGCCGATTTTGGAAAAGTTTCCTTCACAAAAGTTGTTGAGAACTTTCTTTTCTATAACGTATATAAATTTGGAAATTTTTCGAGATGATTTGGATTCTGGACAGAGCTTGCTTTGAGAGACAAGAATTCTGTTCCAGCGAACTATTTTTAGTCTATCTTTGAGCTACTAAAAATGGTGTTTACAGAGAGATTCAGATTTCGTGTTCTCATGAAAAATATTTGTTAAGGTCTTGTTTATGACATATTCAAATTTGAGAATTTTCGGAGTCCATTTACTATGTTTTCAAGTCCGATTTCGTGAACAGTGCAAAGTTGTCCGATTTTGTCAGATTTCAAAGATTTATCAATTTCTATATGAGAACGTTGGAATCTCGACTTGATGTCTTTTGGTGATATTTGAGGACATTCCCGCGCCGAACCTCGGGTTGAACAAGATTATTATACATGTTTTGTCGTGGAAAATCCTCGGAAATCATTGAATTTATTATGATGCGGGTTTGCGACTTAAGTGTCGATTAGTTGTTATTGTGCAACCCGATGGTGCTAAGTTATTATGAGCCGAACCGACATTTCTAGTAGGCCAAAATAGGCTCTGCGTTTGTTTTGTTGGGAAGAAACTAGAAGATAAGGCTTTGACATGGTCAAAGCTTCTCCTTCAAGCTTCCATCATTAAGTTTCATTAATGCCATTTAATGGCCCTTGACTTAGAAGCCCTATTTCATGATGACAAGTATAAATGATCTTAGACTTTGGAGGCCCTATTATTATGGGGCACAAGGCAAGGCCATTCGCCCAAGCCAAGGGGAAGTCGAGAGAGAGAGAGAGAGAGAAGCCAAGGGATAAGATCCAATTTAATGCCCTTAATTGCTATATATCATGACTTTTAACTATTGTGCATTACTGCACATTAATGCTTGGCTTCTTCTCCAAGCCTATTTGGCTATAAAGAAGCAAGAAGCCTTCTTACGTGAAATCCCCACACTAAAACCAATCACTTTTCTTGCCTTCTTGCTTCCTTGTTCCTCATTCACGCCCAAAGAAACACACAAGCCAACCTCGTTCTTCCTCCTTGCTCGTTTGGCCAACTAGGAAGTAACACCCGATACTCGCCCAAGGCCCCGTTTTTCCCCAAAATTAAGCTTGTTCCGTGCTCAAGCCAAGCTACCAGCCACTTTTTTCCTTTAATATCTCGTGTTCTAGTGGTTGTTAAGTAAGTGAATTCCCTAATATCGGGAAAGGAAGTTGCAATACGTTGTAACATGGGTTGCTTGGCTCGTTTCTTGGTTTCATGGTTGTTCGTTCTTTCTTGACTAACGATGTTCACGTGTGGCACTCACGTTTGATGTTTGTTTTGTTGGTTTCGTAGCATGACTTTGCTATTTGAATTGCCATCGATGCCGATACGGTAATAGTCGACTTGTGTGAACGACAATTGTCTCGTCATCGCTTGATATTAGTTTTTTCACTTGCTGAGTCTCCCCGACTCATCCCCCGTTGTTTCCCTTTTTCAGGTCTATAGGATGGCATCTCCCCTAGCCCGCGTTGGCAATCCCGTGGAGCAGAGAGCCGAAGTGCTCACCGTGATAGATGTTAGAGAAGACCGCGCCTACCGCCGAATCACGACGCTTGTGATGTTCGATGAGGGCCTAATGGACCTGGTGCCTCATCCGTACATGGCGTGGTATTGCTATGCGAACGGAGAATGGGTTGGATCTTTATGTGGGTTCAACGGTGCTTTGGTAGTGCGGGCGGCCGGCTCCGGAATAAAGTCACGGGTGGGATGTGAGATGACCTAGCGGACGGGACCGGGGTGGAGGTGAAGAAGCGAGGAGCGAGAAGCCGTATTGGGTATAGGATAACCCAAGTCAAGTTTTGTTATTCATAGTTTGTTATGAAATATGTATTGTTTGCCATAGCCCGAATGGCTTGTTAAAACATGTTTGCATGCATTGTAAACATAAGGTTTGCTCATGATGCTTCTTGTCTTATTCCGCTGTGTGCATTGATTGTGATTGTCAGAGAAATGCTTCTGTTTGTGTGTAAAGAAAAATAATAATGAACGGGATGTCACATGAATGACCCCGAGGTGGGGGCGTTACACCTTGTCCTCAGCATCACACCATAATAGAGCTGGCAGGAATAGCTATAATGCTGCTGTGAGGATGAAACTGATCGCCATTGGTCCCGAAAATGCCCTCGGTAAATGGAATTTGCCGGCGAACACTTTCTTGGCGATAATCTCGACGGCCACGTAGAGGCCGTGCACAAGGAAGAAGGAGGTGACCACCCACTTTGGCTCCTTATACCATCTTAGCAATATTAAGATATTTACTTGATTCTACATATCTCTCAAATTTATGCATATATCTCATTTGATAGTGCATATCGTTGATTAATTATATTTAATATTATATTTATCTTCTCACCTTTAATAATTATTTAATAAATATATAAATAAGTTCATGTACTATTTATCAATACATTAAAATATATTGAAAATTTCCATTTTCTGTCTTTCATGTTATTACATTTTAGAGTAAACATATAAAGAGGCCCGCTGGGAAGCATGAATGATGCCGGTAGTGGGGCCCACGTCCTCTCAATTCACCTGGCTGGAGGGCCCATGCACCGTGCATACAGCTGGAAGCCACGCTCAGAGCGCTTGGAAGACTTCAAAGTCTTCAAGCTCCGTTTCCTCGCTCGACCCGGCAAACACTTCTTTGAGAGCTAGGCTTTTTTCCGTGTGCAGAGCATGAGGAGGGCCCGACCTCCTTCGCAAACCCAGCGATCAACGTCCCCCCCGTCGTCCCAAGCGACTACGGCAACCGACCCCTCCGACGACTTGGCTAGCCAGTACCAGGAGCCATCGATATTCATTTTCACGAAGCCCTTTCCCGGCAGCGACCACGAACACGGTTCGATTCTTATCGACTTATTCTGAATTTGCCCTGAAGAGTTCGGTTTCATGAGATCCTTGCTCAGAATGAGTGGGTTGTCCACAATCGAGGCCAAATCTGGTCGTCGGGACTATAATACCCATTTGTATTTTGTCGCGTTCCTTCCTGTGTAATTGGGACCAAAAGTCTCCCCGATCAGCTTTTTAACAAGAATAGACGAGTGGATTTATGAAAAAGATTGTGGGCTAATCTCAAGCCTTCCCAAAAATTTAAGTTTTTTTAGAAGAATCCGTGATTTAGCATTTGATTTCATAATACTAGTTATTGTACATGTTTATTTTTATATGTTTGAATTGACTTTTGTTTTTTACTTTTTGAGTTTTTGGTTTTCTTAATTCTTGCGGATCGATTTTGTTGATTGTTGGTCTTTTCCAGTTTCCTAGATTCACATAGCATGGACTTACAAAATCAATGTTATATGAGAGTTTCATAGCATGGACTTACAAATGATATGGATCATTGGGTCTTTGAATATAATATGATCATCTAAATTCTTGCCTTTTGTTTTATTGTCATTATGTTTCTGAATTTATACATTGGTAATCTCACTCATGATGTATTCACATGATATGTTAGTGGTTGAAACCTTCAGTCAGCCAAGGGCAAAGGCCTATCTTGTTCGCACGCGAGGGAGACAGGGAGAGAGCTGCTAAAGCTAAAGTTTAAAATGGGGAGCTCAGAGGTAGGAACATCATCCGGAAGCGAGTATCAAGTGTTCCTGAGCTTCAGAGGACCCGACACTCGTTATGGATTTACCGACTGCCTCTACCATAACTTGACCGATGCCGGCATCTGTGTCTTTCGAGATGATGAGGAGCTCCATGCTGGTGAAAGAATCGATGAAGCGCTCCAGGGAGCAATCGACAACGCTAGGATCTACATACCCATCTTCTCTCGAACCTATGCTTCGAGCAAATGGTGTCTCCGCGAGCTTGCACAGATTGTGGAGAACACCTCTAAGTCGAATGGGAATAAAGAGATCCTACCTATTTTCTTTAAAGTGAAACCTAAAGATGTTAAGCTGAAAACCCAGTTATATAAGAATGCCATTTCCAAGTTGGAGTGCGAGGAGCAGTTGAGCACTGAACAAGTAGATACCTGGAGAGAGGCTTTGAAGGAGGTTGCTGCAATGAAGGGTTGGGAAGTCGAGAAACGCGAACGGTGAGCTAGCTGCATTCTAAGATCCTTATTTTTCCCTAATATTTTTTTCTTGTTTGCAAAAACTAAGTAAATAATTCATAGATAGAAGGAACATGTTAGATGCAGGTAGGAGGAGAGAATTAAAAAACATAAAAATTCATGCTAGAGCTACTAAAATTGTTAGTGTTCTTGATTTCACTATAGGCACTTTCATATGTCTATTTTTATTGAAGAAATAAAAATAGAAACGAAAGCTCATTTTTTTTCCTTTGGTTGATGGTCTATATAAATTTTGTTTCCATTTTCACCTGTCATTTAGTAAGCAACTCTTAGTAAAATTCTAACGCTTCTAGAACTACTACTCAAAACTTAATAACATAGATGTATCACCACAATTGAGGTGGGACTTCCACGAATGATACTAAATGGTATGCGTGTGTAAAAATTTGAAAATGTTGAAGAAAAGGCATTTTATATAATGGGTGATAAAGTGGAATAATTGAGTACCATACACGTTCCTGTCTAATAATTTGATCTTTCAATTAATGCATCAGACATTTCTCCTCCTCAACATATAATGTACCACTTCTAAGGTTGTCCCATGAATATAACTGATAAAATGCTAATTCGCAATGCATAAATAGTTGTACAGTTATCTTGCTCAAACAAGATTAACATAATTCAAAGATTGCTAATTACATGCTGGGTCAAGTCAATTTTTGGGTGTCATGACACAATGCGACACGTGGCACCTAGCAATGTGCATGAAAAGCGCGTTTGAAAGTGATGTAGATTCATATTTTTTATGGTTACATAGAATTAGCTATAAAAATCAAGTCAAAACCTTTAGGGGTCGATTCCATCTTTCTCATCAAATGTTTGTGTTATGCATGCTTGGTGTTATTTTGGAACGTTACACGATCAAGTACATGTAAGGTTTGCACAACAAATCAAATGACAAATGTTAAGTTATCAAAAGCAATAACTAAGAAAACCTTACAATCAATATGAAATTTGAGAAGACATGTCTTGATTGTTGATGTCCGATCAGTAATTGAAGTATTGCACAGTTAAGCAGATTCAATTGAATAACATCAACTCCTAAGAAACGAAAAAAAAAAATGAGATTCTGTCGAAGTTTGATGGAATTGTATCACGAATGAAAATTAATTAGTAGATTTTTTTTTTTTCGCAATTTTCCCCTATTGAAACGGTCTTCCTTCATGACAGCCAAGGCAAACTAATCAAGTTTGTCGTTGAGGAGGTTGTGGATAAGTTGAAGATGAAGGAAAAGCCCGTGACTGAACATTTAATTGGAATCGATGATCGAGTGAGAACAGTAAGAAATATGTTAGACGTAGACTCTGGAGGTGTGCGGTGCATTCAAATTTATGGCATGGGGGGTATCGGTAAAACGACCCTTGCCAAGGTCGTGTTCAATCAACTTTCTACCCACTTTGGAAGGTGTTGCTGCTTTCTTGAAGATGTTCGAGAAAAGTCGTCAAGAACGGATGGCTTGGTTGAATTGCAAAAGAAGTTATTATCTGAAATAGGAAATGCTGCAGGAACAGCAAACATCGATGAAACTGACAAGGGAATGAGGAGGATTGAAGAAACACTTAGCAATAAGAAGGTCTTCATTGTACTGGATGATGTTGATAAAAGTGAACAAGTGGAGAAACTAGTTGGAAAAGGTGCTTTGTGTTCAGGGTCTAGAGTACTGATTACTACTAGGAACATTGATGTTTTGCGAATCACTGGACCAAAGTACGATATATTAGATTATGAAATGGAGGTGATGAGTAGTGATTATGCGCTTCAGCTCTTCAGCAAACATGCATTTAAGAAGGACTCTCCTTCGGATGATCGTTATGATATTTCAAAGAAAATTGTATCTACTACCGGAAGACTTCCTTTGACTATTAGAGTAATTGGTTCATTTCTGTTCACACAAACTCAAGAACTATGGGAAGAAACATTGGACAAATTAAGCAAAGCACTTCCAGAGGATGTTTATAAAAAGTTGAGGATTAGCTTTGATGCATTGACTTTTGAGCAACAACAAATTTTTCTGGATATTGCATGCTTTTTCATTGGTGAGGAAAAGACAAATGCAATTCATATGTGGAGAGATTGTGACTTTTTCCCAATTAGTGGAATTGCGGTCCTCAATAACATGTCCTTGATAAAGATTGTAAAAGACAATAAGTTTTGGATGCACGATCAACTTAGAGATCTTGGAAGGGAAATTGTTCGTCAAGAAAATCTGACGAATCCGGAAGAGCGTAGTAGGTTATGGATTCAAGAGGAAGTCCTTAGCGCAATAAGTTCAAAGAAGGTAGAATGCTTCACGAGAGAACTAATAGATTCTCTTTTTTCCATATTATCCTCGAGGATATAGAATGCTGATAATCGCTCATTCTTGCTCTCAATTGCAGACGAAGAACAATGTTCGAGCAATTGAACTCAATCTTCATGTCCCTATCAGAAGTGAAGAGATTAGAAGGTTTAAAGAACTACGGTTCCTTAAATTAGATGGAGGAACCGTTGTTGGCGACCTAACTGATTGTTTTCCCGAATTAAGATGGATTTATTGGAGATATCCTTCTTCACCGTGTGAGATGACCAATATGCGCTTAAATAATGTAGTCATTCTTGAATTTACTTCAGTTCACTTTATAGATGATCAGAAATTATTTGACTTAATAAAGGTGTGTCATATGCTTATTTCTATTCTTTGTCCTTGAAAGCAACATTTGAATTGCTCTTCCTTTGGATAATGCATTCACTTTTTACAGGAGGCAAGAAAATTGAAAGTTCTTAGTTTTGAGAATTGTCAAAAGATAACCAGAATGCCAGATTCATTAGGATGCTCAACTTTAAAGAGGCTGACTTTTGGGTATCGCCATGGTTTAGGGAAGATTGACGGCTCTATCGGAAAGCTTGAGAATCTGGAAGTGCTTTGGGTTAAAGGAAATTTGAAAGGTCAAATTCCTTATGAAATTGGCTTGCTTCCGCGGCTGCAAAAACTGGTGTTAGAAGAATGTTATGAAATCCGAGAGTTGCCGGCACTCCCAATAAGTCTAACCCATCTGATAGTGCCATCTACGTCATTGCAGGTTGTTCCGGACCTCTCAAACTTGACTAATTTGGTTGAGTTGGACCTAAGTGACAACTTTCATATGGGCGGAATTTCTACCAGTGACTTGAGGTGGATTGGGAGGTTCTCTAACATGGGCAGACGAGATAGAATTCTTACCGGTGACTTAAGGTGGATTGGGAGGTTATCCAAACTGGAACAGTTGAGATTGGGTCTCCCCCGTGTCCCTGCTCCCACTGAGTTGGCTTCCCTTCCTAAGCTTAACCGACTCCTTTTGTCTGGATTGGACCTGCAAACCTTCACGCAAGTTCCCTCTTCTCTATTAGAGCTAACCCTTGAGAATTTCAATTCAATCGCGTTACACTCCTTCGACCTGAAGAATTTGTCAGATTTAAGGCTCTTTTGCTCTCAAATGCAAGAGATTCAACTCGATGGGCTTCATCTTCCAAATTTAACAATGCTTTACGTTGAAAATTGTGGACCCCTCGAGAGATTCATGCTATCCAGCATGAGGAAGCTAAAAGAGGTCGCCATGAGTGAGTGCCCAAAACTAGACGAGATCCACATCGCCGGGGTGTTGGAATCGTTGGAAATATTGGATATTTTTGACTGTGAGTCCTTCAGAAGGTTCGTGTACGTCGACACACATTGGGAATCTTCTCATGAATCTTCACTAATCCTTGCATCGAGAGTCTTCAATAAGTTGTGGCGTCTCTCGCTACAGAGTTGCGATAAGATACTCAGTATTCAAGTTGTTGGTATGTCGGAATCGTTGGAAGAGTTGGCATTTTCTGGTGATCATTTGCAAAGTGTTTGTGGTTTGTCAAACTTAAAGTACCTCAAGTCCTTCGAAATAGATTCCGCCCGTGAGCTACGGATTGTCAAGGGCCTCGATGAGTTAAAGTTCTTGAACAATTTGGAACTTATGCTATGCTGTTCGTTGGAAAGTTTGATTGATGTATCGACCACCCAATTGCCAAATGATTGCCATGTATATATCTTCTGTTGCCCGAAATTACGTGGGCTAAAGCGGGGAATTTTCTCTGGCTCCATCCAGAGTTTCAAGCATTACAAGGTGAGTCAAAAAAACCATCCACAAACATGAATTCGATTTTAGGCAGATTTATAATAATCGTGGAAAATAAAAAAACTATCATACAAACATGAATTAAACTTGGTCTCGCTTACTTTATAAGCCAATTGACACGTGATGTTTTCTCTCTCTCTCTTTTCCCATTTTTTGTATATGAGAATGTTTCATAGTTAAGAGAAGTCTAGTTTTTATCACAAATGTTTGGAAAACTTCATATTGTAGGAGATATATATAAAGAATAGCTTAGAGCCTATTATTAAAATGTTTTCTCGTTTTATACGAAGCGAATGGTTTTACTTGGCTTTTTTTCTATGAAATGTACTTCACTTTTTTGTCTATATATTTTAATTAATACCATTCATTATGAAGATGAATTCCGTGATTTGCGATATTTACGACAAGTGCATCGTAAGTCCTAATACTAGTCGAGAAAGTGTAATTGAGTACTAAAACTTATTAATTTGGTGCAATCGAGTCTCTTTCTTAACTTCGTCCAATTTGGTTAATAAAAAATGCTGAAGATGTATTTTTTATTAATTTCACTCTCCTACGTGGTATAGAGCTTAGAAGAAAAGGTCTGCCTGCAAAAAATGTCTGTCCGTTCAAGGTTTGCCCCAAATTTCCAAGCCCTAATTTAGCTTTCTTCTCCAGTTTTCTTTCTTGACTTCTCCTTATTCGTCGGGTTTTCTACTCAAGTTCTCCTCACCTCTTCATCGGTCTTTCTTCGTGGAGTTCGCTGCTTATTTGTCGATCGTCTTGTTCTTCGTCCGAGTGTCCCCCTTCTTCTTCTTCGTCGAGTCCTCGCACAACTACTCGATGAGAACAACGATGAACGTCAAGTCCTCTTCTTCCGAGCCCGACGGCATGAACAAAGGTGTTAAAATCCCCTTTTCTTGTATTTTACTTTCGTCCCCATGGAGATATGGTAACTCATTTTGAGGTGTTTTCTCTTGTGGACTACATAGGTCTGAAGTTTGGGAATGATGTCAATGAGTAAATGCAGACACAGAAAGTTCTTGCGATCTTACTAGTCTTAGCAAAATAAAAGATGGGATTGTCCAAAACAAAACGAAAAAAAAGACACGAATTGTTTGCACGATTTTGTTCGGGTTAATTAAGGTGGGAGCAACTATATTTAATGCTCAATTTCGCGGTTTTCTGCTTCAGAAACATGCTAAAAATTATTGGGGATTTGGCTTCATTATCTTGCATAACGCACTTTGAAATTTTTTGAAAATTCAATTTCAAATTATTATGAATACATCTTTTGGCCTGGGGAGTCAAAATCAAGGTGTCGTCTTTAGTTCAAGTGCTATTTGTTCACTTAGAATCTCCAGAATATCCAATTATTGTGCAATTCCTTTAGTATTGTATTTGGGACATTTTCAATTTAGAGCTTGAATTAGCCTACATAATTTATTTGACTACCTAAAGTGTTAATTATTTTTGGAGTGCCAATTTTCAATGACAATCTGGTCTGAGGTGCTGAAACTTCTACTGGTACAGGACCATTTGTGCTTTGGGTAAAAAAAGCATGTTTTTGTTGTTACAATCATCAGCATTAGATAGAGACTTAGGGAAGACGGTATTCCTTTTTCTTCTTTCGCGTTGCCAAATTTGTTGCTTGGAGCCCTTCAGGCAATGTGACTAAAACCTGGATAAAATGTGTTTGTTTAGGAATCTTAAAATTGGTCTAGTCAGTTCTTTGTCAATTCGAATTTGAGTAAGGCCAACATGTGGTTATTAGTTGTCCTTCCTCTGGTGAGGCCGCAAAAATGGTGATATACAATGCCACGGGTTTTGTTAATGTCTCTGGTTTTTTCAGGAGGAAGAGAGTGTGCCGGTTGCAGAGGGCAGCGCACAAGAAGGAATGCACGTACCAGGAAATATGGAGGAACTCCTGGCTCCATCTGAGGTAACTTCGCGTCGGTAGACTAGCCGTATGCCTGAAGTTTGAACACATGGTTTGGTTGCATTCAGTGGGGACCGTACTGAAGTGTAAATGCTTGGTTTATTAGTATTCCTCCTCACAGCCAAGATGGTGGAATATATTTGGTTTATCAGTGGGGACTGTACTGAAGTTTAAATACTTGGATTATCAGAGGTCACCAGGTTTCTGTTGCTTACTTGGACTCACTTACTTTAAAAGCCAGTCGACGCATGTGGTGTTTTCTCTTCTTCTTTTCTTCTTTTTTTATATGAGAAAGTTACATAGTTGGAGTAAGAGAAGTTCAGTTTTTGTTACAAATGTTTGGAAAAACTTCATATTGTTGGAAATATATATAAAATAGCTTAGAGCCTATTATCTAAATTGTTTTCTCGTTTTACATGAAATGAATGGTTTTGTTTAGCTTTTTTTTCTACGTAATATACTCCATTTTTTTGTGCATTTCTTACTTAATACCAATTATTATGAAGATGACTTTCATGATTTACGATATTTATAGTGAAGAGAGAACATTAAAGGGAGACTTACAAATATTGTAATTGAGTGTCTTCTTTAACTTTGTCTAATTTGATTAATGGAAAATGTTGGCGGCGTATTTTTTATTCATTTCTCTCTCCTAAGTGGCATAGAGCTTTAAAAAAGGGTTTGTCTCCAAAAACGTCTCCTTTTAAGGATTTCCCCATATTCCAAGCCCTAATTGAGTTTTCTTCTCAAGGTCTCCTCACCTCTTCACAGGTCTTTCTCGTCCATAGTGTACTTCTTGTTCGTGGAGTCCGCTGCTTATTTGTCGATCCTCCCGTTCTTCATTCGAGTGTCCCCCTTCCTCTTCGTCGAATACCCAAATTTCCTCTTCATTCGAGTGCGATGACGTCGAGTCCTCGCACAAGTGCCCAATGAGGCCGACGACAACGTTGAGTCGTCTTTGTCCAAGCCCGACGGCATGAATGACGGTGTTGCAAGCCACTACATTGAGCTTAATCCCATTTCTTGTATTTTGCTTTCGTTCTGATGGAGATATGTGAACTCATTTGAGGTGTTTACTATTGTGGATTGATTAAATCTGAAGTTTAGGAGTGATGTCAATGGGTATATGCACAAACACAGAAAGCTCTTGTGATCTTACTAGCCTTAGCAAAACGACACGGATTGTTCGCATGATTTTGTTTGGGTTAATTAAGGCGGGAGCAAACTATATATAATGCTGGATTTCGCGGTTCTCTACTTTGGGAACATGCTAAAAAAATTGGCGATATGGCTTGATTATCATGCAAACTGCCCCTCCGAAAGTTTTTGAAAATTCAATTTCAAATTATTATCAATACATCTTTTGGCCTGGGGAGTCGAAATAATGGTGTCATCTTTAGTTTAAGTGCTATTTGTTCATTTAGAATCTCCAGAATATCCAATTATTGTGCGATTCCTTTAGTATTGTATTTGGGATATTTTCAATTTAGAGCTTGAATGAGCCTACATAATTTATTTGACTATCTAAAGTGTTATTTATTTTTGGAGTGCCAATTTTCAAGGACAATGTGGTCTGAGGTGGTGAAGCTTCTACTGGTACAGGACCATTTGTGCTTTGGGTAAAAAAAAGCATGTTTTCGTTGTTACAATCATCAGCATTAGATAGAGACTTAGGGAAGACGGTATTGCTTTTTCTTCTGTCGCGTTGCCAAATTTGGTGCTTGGAGCCCATCGGGCAATGAGACTAAAACCTGGATAAAATGTGTTTGTTTATGAGTCTTAAAATTGGTCTGGTCAGTTCTTTGTCAAGTCGAATTTGAGTAGGGCCAACATGTGGTTATTAGGTGTCCTTCCTCTGGTGAGGCCGCGGAAATGGTGATATACAATGCCATGGGTTTTGTTAATGTCTTTGGTTTTTGCAGGAGGAAGAGAGTGTGCCGGCTGCATTCACAGACGAATTGATGGTTTGGCATGCAGAGGGCAGCGCACAAGAACAAATGCACATACCAGGAAAGATGGTGGAACTCCTGGCTTTATTTAAGGTAACTTCCTGTCGGTAGACTAGCTGTAGGCCTGAAGTTTGAACACTTGGTTTGGTTGCATTCAGTGGGGACTGTACTGAAGTTTAAATGCTGGGTTTATTAGTATTCCTCCTGATGGCGAAGATGGTGGAATTTACTTGATTTATCAGTGGGGACTGTACTGAAGTTTAATTACTTGGTTTATCAGACGTCACCAGGGTTGGAAGAAGACCATGAAGCAGGCGAGCAAGCAGCAGCCCCTGCAACAGGCTCAGCAGCGGTAGCGGCAGCAGCAGCAGCCTATCCTGCAGAATACGTCGGGGAGCTTGAGTTTCAGCAGCAACATGTCGCTGTTGAGGGAGGAGGGCGAGGAGGTGTCGAGTTTGGCTCTGTCCACTTTCAAGGCCAAGGAGGAGGAGATCGAGAGGAAGAAGATGGAGGTCCGTATCCTCTCTCACTTGGGTCGGATCAAGGGAGAGACCGAACGCATGACCACTATTCGCAAGGTATGAAACATGAAATCCCCACATGAAAATGGTTTAATTGGGGGCTTTTTCTTTTCTATGTTATGGTAATAGCAATTAAGAGGTGAGGGGTTTTTGTGGTTTTATTCATGGAGAGTTTTTTGTTACTTTGTTTTGCGGAACGAACAGAAAAACGGCAGCGGAGATGACGGTGGCCAGGATGAAGCTGTTGAGGAACAAGAGATAGGCAGTGCTGAAGCAGATGAGGCGCGACATCACGTTGCTTCTTCAGTCTGGTCAGGACGCCACAGCTCATGTCCGGGTACATCTAGTTCTTCCACTACGATTTGCATTTGGTTATTGCATTGGCAGTTGGTGTGGTTTTTTGTATTGGACGGAATTCATGTCTGTTGAGAAATTGGTCTTGAGCAAAAAGGTTTACTCTCAAATTTCCAGTGGTTTTTGTACGTCTAATTTATAATGAGAATGCTTTGAGAGTGCTGAACTTGAAATAATCATATCGGTTTTTGGTTGCATTCAGTCATTTGTATCACTCGGAGTGAAAAAATAAAAATTCATATTCGGATGAATCTTTGAGATTTTGAATCTGCATCTTATTTGATTCATGAAATGCTCTTCACATAACACGGACTTCTAGAAGACTTAACATTCAAGTAGGAATGCTTTTATATCCGAATCAATCACCCGAGACTTCGGCATTCCAATCGGCGAGGCTAGTAAAAAAATATGGGGGACCTACCTAAAAAGCCTAAAGGTGGCTTGCATATGTGAGGACACAAGTATTTAAACCTCTGATAAGCCGTTGGGATGAGGAAATGAAAACAACGAGGCTTCATTTTATTCCTCCTGCTCTGACCATTCAGGGTCAAATTTTTAATCACTGACTATGGTGGAATGTTTCCTGCTCGAGGGGGTTGTCATTTCAGTGTCTCGCTTCTGGGGCACCTCTGATAGAACCCAGATCAGCATGTGCAAGTTACACCTGGTGACCAGCCGGCAATTCATGGATATATTAGACTATACATGAGGCCAAAGCTGTTAAGTTCCCTAGAGAATTTTCGTAACAGAATGAGAAGGAATCAGAAGTTCTCCAATAAGAATGGGAAGAACGATGAAAGCTTTCTGTCAGATTGCCAAACAGCCAACAACTTTCCATTAGAATATCTAGTTTTCAATAGTAAAGCAACTCTGAAGCATGAAGCGGGAACAAGTACTGAAGATGAGGGAAGTAGGATTTTCAGTATTTCAACCCGACACCAATGGACACACCCGCCTCCATAAACTATGGAAGGCTTAGAAACTTCCCACCAACTCTCGCATTAGACACGACCAGCATAATGACACAACAACTGCATAGAACAACTGACAATTAATATATCAGATTTTCTTTCTTCACTCGTGTGAGCTCTTCCTTTTAACAGTTATACTTCCCCCATTGAGCCTTGATTTCAGCTAGAAGTTAGCTCATGTCGACCTTGTCGCACCTCGATTGGCTTGATTCGCACGATGCTTGATTCCTTGAAGGAAGTCGGCTATCATGTCCCTTGCTCGATCTGGTGTGTTCTGATCAACCCCACGACTTACCACAACCATAAAAGCAATTCCTACATTTTTCCATGCCTTTGCTATGAGAATTGGTGATTGAAGACCACAAGAGTAATTAAGCTCTGAGTCAATCTCATTAGGAGTTACACCACTTGATTTAGACGTTGGCGCCCTCTATATTCTGGCCGCCATTCTTTGATTTGGCAATTGAAATTCTACTAATTGCAACAGAAGCAACAGAAAAATGCTCCAGAAGAAACGTATGTTGACTATCAGGTTCATATCAATAATTCTACTAGGGGCTTCTTCACTATAACAAGACAATGCAAAGCAAAAGGAAAAGCATCCGCATAAAAAAGAAGTGGGCTTCGTTGTTGCAAGAAGAATAATGAATTCACAGACATGACCATGTATAACCTGATCACAAGAGCATCGAAGAAATTGATGGCATTTAAGAACAAAGTGTTAGCTGCATTACAACTCAAGTCATGTGAAGGTAAAGTGTAACTCCCGTTTTGGACTATAATAATGCTACGAAGAGATTGGTCATCCCAGAACCTTCACATCTTGCAAGAACTTTGAATTCTGTCTCATTTTCTTTTTCGTGCTCTGACTTTTATTCCTTACTGGGCTGCCATTACGGGTGTGTTTGTTAATGTACCAAATAGTAACTGATTATATTCTTTTATTCTCGGGAATAGATTTAGAACATAAATCCGTTTGGCAAATTTTTTGTTCCCAGGAATAGAATAAAAAAAAATATTCCTCGAAATATATTTGAAACAGAATCAAAAATAAAAAAAAAGTTGATTCTTGTTTTCGAAAACAACTCCACAATCATTTTTTCTTCTCTTCTCTTCTCTTTCTTCTTCTTCTCCTCTCTTCTTCTCTTTTCTTCTTCTTCCCAGCCGGTTGCTGAACTGCCATCGGCAGTCGCTAGCGACCAGCTGGACGAGGTCCGGCGAGCTCGCTAGAGGCTCGCCTAGCCACCGGTGAGGCTCCAGTGACCTCACCCTAGCCTGGCAAGGCTCCAGCGAGGTCGCTGAACCTCGCCCAGTCGATAGCCGGCCGACATTGTGGCCAGCAACCGGCAATGAGGGAAAAGAAGAAGAAGAAGAAAATAAAAGGTGGAGAGAAAAGAAAAAAAGAAAAGAAAAATATAATAAAATATTAAAAGAAATTATAGGTCACAAAAAAACTTAAGGGTCATACCAAATGTATTTCTATTCTGGGAATAGAAATTTTGGATAGTTATCAAACGCATTCAAATGCTCAGAAACTCGTCTAGGGAACAAAATAAAAAAGAATCATTTTTTATTAGAAATTGTTTTTAGGAAAAGAATCATTACCAAACGCATCCTATATGTGGGTGAAATAGAGAGAATCTGTTACAAGAGCTCGCCAAATTCTACATCAGTGACTACCAAAAGACAAACATAACAGGAACACAGACGTATGCAAGCCTCGCCGAGGAGCTGCAAAGCGAGAGATGTAACTGCCCATGAAAGACAGATTTTCTTTTCTGTTTCCTAAGCGTTGTCTCAAGATTTATAAAGCAAATCAGAACTGGAGCTAATAAAAGAGCGGATAACACAAATGATGATGATTGCAATTAGAGATCATGACGCTAATAGAACGGTACCCATAGCACCGGATGCTCACAAGGAATGACCGAACAACAGCAGCCACTTACCAGTAGAACGAACGAAGAAGGAAAGGAGATATTCATTCTTTTAGTCGTGAAGGTTTCATGTCGGGTAGAATATAGTGTCTACTTCTGCTTCTCATTTAACTTTTGATGCCTAGGTTGAGTCTTGTTTTTAGCTTCCACTATAAATTAGTCGATTGTGTACGTGAAAAATTCTTAATTTAGCTGGATTGAGAACAAAACCAGTTTTCATCAAAGTTGTGATAAAATTAACAATACACAATGTATTTATGTGTATGCAAAGATGAAATTTAATTAGCTTTCCTAACTATGCTAGAAAGAAAGGGGGAAAAAGGAGGAGGGAAAGCATTATCTACTTTTCGTTCTTTGGTCGAAAGACTTTATCTACTTGATTTGTAACGAACCTTTTTTCATTTTCCGGTAATAAGATATTGCTCTCTTCTAGAAACTTATATCTTAGGCGGCTAAGACGTCAAGCCCATTGACATATGTTACTATTCTCGTCGACCACGTAGGGTATGAGGCAAAGATTAGGTTAATAGTTTTGGTATAAAATTGTTTCCATTTGGTGGTGTGAGAAATTGAACTCATGTGATGGGGCCAATCCGCATACACAATCCCGGTCTTTAATGACTACACGAATACCATAATATTTACGATATTTTTTTTCACATGATATTGTTTCCTCTTATATATTGATCTTTTCTCATATTTTAATATCAATGACTGCAATTAACCTGCAGATTGACTTTCGCCAGTATCTATTTGAGGAATTTGAACATCTTCTATCTAATTTCTTGTATATAGTGGATCAATCCGCTAAAAGTGTCTAAAATTAGGTATCTTATTATAATAAAAAAAATGCTATTAAGGCACAATCGAGAAATTCATTTGAAGTAATTTGTTAGTGCAAAGTTTAACTTGATGTTGATGGTTTGATATTGGACTATGAGTATGACAAAACTCGGTTTCTCAATCCATGTTTGATATAGATTAAACTCAATTGAACTCAATTATTAATAACTTATAAACTAAATCACAATGTGAAGCTTGAACTCCATCTCAAGTTCCCATTAAAAAAAGAAGTAATATCATACTATAAATGATATTGATTATAAAGGTTGACTAATAAAGTTAAATGAAAACTCTTTCAGCTCTATTGCGTTTTAATTCTATGTATATATAACTCGATACTTTTATCTCGATTTTTTTTTTTGTGTTTTATGCTATAAATGATTGCCAAGAAATTCTTGGGGAAGATGTGGGACTAGTCGGACCAACTAAATCCGTAACAAGATTCCGAGTGGTGCAGTATTTTCAGACAAGTAAACGGGCTCCTGCCCATCCCCAGCCCAAAACTCCATTGGGCTCAAACACATAGCGAGGCTTGCCTATGCCACCAATTTTCTTGGTTAAGTCTGCCCATGATCATGGTCTATTAGGGTGCATATGGTAACGTTTCTATTTCTGGGAACAATTTCTTTTCAGAAATAGTTTTTTCTATTTCTATTTCCTGGATGAGTTTCTAAGCAAAATAATGCGTTTGGTAACTGCACAAAATTTCTATTTCTAGATCAGAAATGTGTTTGGTAACTGCACAAAATTTCTATTCCTGGAATAGAAAAAGAACAGAAATGCGTTTGGTAACTGTACAAAATTTCTATTCCCAATTTTTTGCGTTCAAATCTATATCTTTTATTTAACTATAAGTACAAGTTATAAGTGAAAAAAATCAATAAGCATGATTTATTGGTTTGTCTAATCCTTTTTAGGGGTTTAAAACCCCTTTTAATCCCTAAACTAAGGAATCTTCAAAAATACCACTTGGGCACCTCAAAAATTTAAATTTCACTCAAAGTGGGTGGCCACAGGTATTCTAAGCCATTATGTAAATTTTTTTATATTTTTTGGAGTAAAATTTATTAAAATTTTTTTCTTTCCCTAAATCTGTTTCTTTTTATTTTTCCGAAAATTTTTTATGAAATTTTTCTAATTTTTTCAATTTAGGGATTTTACAAATATTTAAGGGTTTTCTGAGTTTTTCTGATTTTTATGGATTTTCTGAGAATTTTTCTTATTTATATGAATTTTGGGATAATTTTCTAATTTTTTATGGGATTTTTCTGAAATTTTTCTAATTTTTATGAATTTTTAAATTTATTCTAAGCCATTATGTGAATTTTTTATTTTTGATTTTTTTGGGGAAAAGTTTATTAAAACTTTTTACTTTCCCAAAATTTGTCTCTTTTTATTTTCCAAAAAGCTTTTTTTGATTTTTTTAAATTTTTTCAATTTCCGAATTTTGCAAATTTTTATGGATTTTCTGCGAATTTTTCTGATTATTATGAATTTTTGGAATTTTTTATAATTTAATTAATTTTTATAATTTTTTTTATTATTTTGGCCGAGAATGGACCGGACCGGTGCTTTGTGACGGTTTGCAGACGACGGAGGATGGAGGAGGAGCTGAGGTCGCAGCTTGAGGACCGGACCTTTTTATTTCTATTTCTATTTCTGGGAACAAAGAAGTAGATTTTTTCTACTTCTTATTTCTGCTCCAAATCTATTTCTTGGCCACTTTTCTATTCCAGGAAATAGAAAAATAAAATACGTTACCAAACGGATTTATGTTCTTTTTTTGTTCCAGGGAACAGAAAAACAGAAAAATAGAAAAACAGAAGCGTTACCAAACGCGCCCTTAGTAACTTAACAAGCGCTCCATAACACGTTGGCAAAATAATTTAATTTTTTTTAAATAAGGTCAATTAACTGAATACATGCACATGCGAATGCAATATAAGCTAGCTTTGTCGATGGGTTGCTTTCCGATGCTTAGGAAACCTTGTGCATGAAACGCAAAAAGATGCTTACGCTCAACTGTTTCCTAAAGTAAAAGACGAGAGCGGTTTTCTCCGATTCAGCCTCTTCATTTTTAGTCCTGGTTGACGACATTTGAAGTGGAAAGACCGTAAGCCTCTCTCTGTATATATATTTATCTTGATTTTGCATGCTACGGAGGATTCCCAAGTTCATATCGAAGAAGTTCAAGGAGGCGAGTGTATTACAGCTTCATGCTTGGTATACAACCAACTTCAGATGGTGGAACTCTTACTGAACTTCCTAATGATTATGTTTTCCTTTATAAAAGCAACCAAGTCACAAGTCACAACAAAAGGCAAATACTTCTCGCGGATGGACTTTATCCTTCTTCTCGCGATCCGGAAAAATTGTCTAGACATACCGGAGGATGACGGTCAATTTTTCCCCAGCCTCCATAATTTATCAGACTATCTAGATTGCGCTATGTACAGTACCAATGCAAGAAAGGGATAATTAAACAAGGTGGGTTCAGAGAGGGAGAGAGATACCTTATGTCCGAGAGAGAATTGCTGCAACAAAAACACTAAGTTGTTGTGTTTTTTTTTTTTTTGCATTTTGAAGCAATTTTAACAGCAGCTTAGACATACAGCTGCAGATCGCTAACATAAGGTTCGACTACACATAAAAGAGGTCCTATCTTGGCTAGAAAAATTTTTCTAGCCTCGTCGTATCTTGAAGATGTGGGAATCATAGTAGTTCTTCCAATGAACTTTCTTCAACAAAGAACACAAGTAGTTTGTTTTGCTCTTCATTGTTTGCTGGACCTAGGACATTTATGTCAAAAACGAATAGTTAGAATGCGGGCTCGACAATGATCACTATACCTTTGATGATAACACTAGCCTCATCCCTTCGAGTGTGGGTCATGAGTCGACAATGGTGAGCACAAAATGATGTTTGGAGATCTCTATTGGGTGTTATGATGGTACATCATCTTACAAATCATATGAGTGTAGGAAAGGACTAGGCATAATCGGCGTGAAACCAGCACAAGAAGTAGAGATCACTTGAACATCCCACAATTAAACCTTCAATAATTTGGATTGGAGAAGGATTTAGAGAAAAGCTTAGATCACAGAAAGTAAAAAAATTAATGAGCAGAGGGGCTCATAATATATCTGTAAAGCATATCAAATCATAGACAAGATATTACGTAATTGCTCTAAAAGCTTATTTCTTAAAACAGAATGAGCAAAACGCGATCAGCCACGTCTTCCATCACTTGAAAAAAAATGCAGAGACGTGAATAGAGGAGCTCCATTCACTTCGTTGCGAAAAACATAGTCGTGAAGTCCATTGACACAAACTCAATGCTGTGTGGCCCAAGCATCTAATAAACACTACAGCCAATATTGAATGGCTGTAAACCCAAAGGCAGAGTTCACAAATCACAATCATTACTGTAGTCCGGTAAACTTGAGAAGTTCAATTATGAAAATAGAAGCCTAACCTTGAGAGCAAGAAGAAAACCCATACATCAACAGAGGCCATTTCCAAGCATTTGATTGTGTCCCTCAACCACTCTCGAGTGCCAAAACGGGCAACATTTCAACTTCTCTTCAATATAAAAGATACCACAACACTCCAAGATCTATTCAAAGAAGGAAAAGAGAGCTCAGCAGTGACTAATAAGGGCAATCACTTGTATACTTAAAAATGAACAAAAAGGACAAAGGCATAATGCAAGAGAAGTAAACTCAAAACATGATTTAGTCACAGCAAAAAGAAAAAAAAACATGGTTACACCAAGCTACATTTGTATTCCACTTTCAAGTTCCGTTGAAGCACTCCTCATGCCAAACTCATGTTTCAAGTCTATCCACCTATATTCTCTTTAAAACCACCTTAGCGTCCAATATCCAGGTCACTCGGCATTTAGTAAATAAAACACCTTTCACTATTTTAACATTCAATGAAATTAGTCACACCTCATGGCTCATGACATACTTACCTCGTCCAGATCTTATGAGACCACTTCAAGTCCTCCGCATGCTAACAATTCTGTTTAATAGTAGACATCTTATTGAGCCTCTACCTCTAACTCTTGTGCATCTCCATTTGTCTTTTATAATTGCTCTTTTGTTGGTTTCAGTATTTCCTTCAACTTGTAAATCTCTTCATTTTTCTCATTCTCGGACCTTAAGTTCTCGGTTGGAAGACAACTAAATTCCTTCAACTGACCTTAAGTTCTCGGTTGGAAGACAACTAGATTTGGAGGCCCCAAATCATTCGAGCATGAGCTATGCCCTAGCAGCGGACACGTCCAGGTTTCTCTTTTCCTAACATTAGAGAAATAGAATTTCAAGCTCGTATCGCTCTTTCCAAGTTCCAAATATACCTCCATGAGATCATTCATACTTCCCTGCAGTTTAGCAACTTAAAAAAACTTATTAAACCAATGATACAATTTTTTGGCGAGCACTTTTAAGCTGAATTCATAAATACGCACGATTGCCTTTGATTCCTAACTCAGCTTCCGATCATGTGCCAGAACTTGCTTAGTCAGCAGAACTGACTTTCCTGTGAAACAAGAAAAGATGTCCAGAGATATCAAATTGAAAAAGCAATCACATTAATTCTTCCTTTCTGTAGTTGTTCCTTGCTGATTGTTATATGACTTGTCATCCACCAAAATCATATGAAAACACACACTAGGAAGTTAGACTGTTGGTTTTAATTTTAGACTATTTATTCCAGCTTGCCTTCTTTTCTTGATCCTTTGTCTTCTACTCAGGTAACTGTATAAATTCCAAATACGTTGCAGCAGCAATATTGTCATTGCCGAGACTGCATAACATTTGCTAACACTAGATGAACTATATTGAATGGCTTTACAACAATTGTGGGGACGTGTACATGCATGTGAAATGGCACAGCTAAGGATTGGGTATTTTAGGGCTGCAGTACTTCTCTGTTTTTCAATCTCCCTCATTAAACCAAACTGCACTCACGTTAGCAAATTACTGGAAAATTGTATAGATTTCGTCATCTATAATTCACTTTACAGCTCTAGTTGCTGCACAGCTGTTTTATTAATGTTGGTGACGTATCATGCTAGATAAACCTGAACCAAGTTGTGGATTGTGTAGCAAATCCAAGTCACAGAGCTAAGGGAATAACAAGATATCAATGCAGGCGCTAAGAACATAGACAATCTTAGGGAGGCAATTCTATAACACATCCTATGTTTTCTTCCTGTGACAACTGCTGTTAAAACATGCGCATTGTCGGAAAAGTGGCAAGTACCTCTGGCAATCTTTTCTTAGATACAAAGATGTATCAGCTCAGCAGAATCTGTTCTAAAGCGAAATTATTGATTACACTGGATATATCACTTATAGGGAAACACAAAAATTTAAGGGGAAACATGAGAGTCCCTTTACTGCTGTTATTCTAGCAAAATTTTTGTTCCCGAAGGTGTGTTGTATCTTTTGTTTTGCTCTGTTGGCCTCCTTATTTGCGTCACTCAACGTCTGCAATAAAGAAAAAAAAACAAGGTTATCACGAAATAGTCAATAACGCGAAAATGTAGCAGAAAATGTTTATAGGGATAAGAACCATCTCCAATGGGCTTTTACAATCCAATCCGTTACTTAGCTGGCTTCACGGGGGCGGTGGACGATTGAAATTCCTTTTAATTGGGCCAACATGCTTTTCCATTCCTAAATGCATTGTACATATCAGCTTGGAAGCCACCACGCTCAGATCACTTTGGAAGACTTCAAAGTCTTCAAGCTTCGTTTCCTCACTCGACACGACGAACGCTTCTGTGAGGGCTACGGTTTTTCCCTGTGCAGAGCAGAGGAGGCCACGACCTTCTTCGCAAACCCAGCGATCAACGTCCCCCCGGTCGTCCCGAGCGACTCCGGCAACCGACCCCTCCGACGAATCGGCTAGCCACGACCAGGAGCCATCGATATTCATCTTCACGAAGCCCTTTCCCGGCAGCGACCCCGAACACGGTACGATTCTTTTCTGACTTATTCTGGATTTGCCCTGAAGAGTTCGGTTTCATGAAATCCTTGCTCAGAATGAGTGCGTTGTCCGCAATCGTGGCCGGATCTGGTCGTCGGGACTGAAATACCCATTTGTATTTTGTTGCGTTCCTTCCTGTGTAATTGGGACCAAAAGTCTCCCCTATCAGCATCTTAACAAGAATAGGCGACAAGTGGATTTATGAAAAGATTGCGGGCTAATCTCAACCTTTCCAAAAATTTGACTTACAAATGATATGGATCATGGGGAGTTTGAATATAATGCGGTCATTTACATACTTGCTTCTTGGTTGTTATTCTGTAACTGATTTATATAATAGTCCGTGATAGTATTTTTGATGCTTTTCTCTAATCATTGGTAATCTCACTTATGATATATTTATGCGATATGTTTGTGGTTGAGACCTTCAATCAGCCAGGGGTAAAGGCCTATCTTGTTCACCCACGAGGGAGACAGGGAGAGAGCTGCCAAAGCTAAAGTTTAAAATGGAGAGCTTAGAGGCAGGAACATCGTCAGAATATGAGTATCAAGTGTTCTTGAACTTCAGAGGACCCGACACTCGTAAGGGATTTACCGGCTGCCTCTACCACAGCTTGATCGATACCGGCATCTGCGTCTTTCGAGACAGTGAAAAGCTCCATGTTGGTGAAAGAATTGATGGAGCGCTCCAGAGAGCAATCGACAAATCTAGGATCTACATCCCCATCTTCTCTCGAAACTACGCTTCGAGCCAATGGTGTCTCCGCGAGCTCGCGCAGATTGTGGAGAGCACCTTCAAGTCAAACGGGAATAAAGAGATCCTACCTATTTTTTTCGACGTAGAACCTGACGTTGTTAAGATGAAAACCCCGTTGTATGGCAATGCCATTCTCAATTTGGAGCGCAAGAAGCCGTTGAGCACCGAAGAAATAGAGTCCTGGAGAAAGGCTTTGAAGGAGGTTGCTGCAATAAAGGGATGGGAAGTCGAGAAATACAATGAGTGAGCTTGCTGCATTCTAAGATCCTTATTTTTCCCTAATATTTTTTTTCCTGTTTGCAAAAACTAAGTAAATAATTCAAAGATAGAAGGAACATATTAGATGCGGGTAGGAGGAGAGAATTCAAAGACATAAATCATGCTAGAGCTATTAAAATTGTTAGTGTTCTTGATTTCACTAGAGGTGCTATCATATGTCTGCTTTTATTGAAGAAATAAAAATAGAAACGAAAGCTTTTTTTTTTCCCTTTCTTTGATAGTCTATATAAATTTTGTTTCCTGTTTCACCTGTCACTTCGTAAGCAACTCTTAGTAAATTTCTAATGCTTCTAGAACTACTTCTTCAAACTTAACAACATAGATATATCACCACAATTGAGGTGGGACTTCCACTAGTGATACCAAATGGTATGTGTGACAAAAAATTTGAAAATGCTCGGAAAAAGGCATTTTATATAATGGGTGATAAGTGGAATAATTGAATACCATGCACGTTCCTGTCTAATAATTTGATCTTTCAATTAATACATCAGACATTTCTCCTCTGAACATATAATGTCCCATTTCTAATGTTGTCCCATGAATATAACTGATAAAATGCTAATTCCTGATGCACATATAGTTGTACATTTATCTTGCACAAACAAGATTAACATAATTCAAAGATTGCTAATTACATGTTGGGTCAAGTCAATTTTCGGGTGTCATGACACAATGCGACACGTGGCACCTTGCAATGTGCATGAAAAGCACGTTTGAAAGTGATGTAGATTCATATTTTTTATGGTTACATAGAATTAGCTAGAAAAATTAAGCCTGAAACCTTCAGGGGTCGATTCCATCTTTCTCATCAAAATGTTTGTGTTATGCATGCTTGGTGTTATTTTGGAACTTTACAAGATCAAGTACATGTAAGGTTTGCACAACAAATAAAATGACAAATGTTAAGTTATCGAAAGCAATAACTAAGAAAACCTTACAATCAATCCGAAATTTGAGAAGACATGTCTTGATTGTTGATATCCCATTAGTTATCAGAGTATTGCACAGTTAAGCAGATGCAATTGAATAACATAAACTCCTAAGAAACGAACACAAAAAAAAAAAAAGAGATTCTGTCAAAGTTTGACGGAATTGTATCACGAATAAAATTTACCTAGTAGATTGTTTTGTTTTTGTTCGCAAATTTCCCCTATTGAAATGGTTTTCCTTCATGACAGCCAAGGCCAACTAATCAAGTTGGTCGTTGAGGAGGTTGTGGATAAGTTGAAGATGAAGCAAAAGCCTGTGACTGAACATTTAATTGGAATCGATGATCGAGTGGGAACAGTAAGAAATATGTTAGACGTAGACTCTGGAGGTGTGCGGTTCATTCAAATTTATGGCATGGGGGGTATCGGTAAAACGACTCTTGCCAAGGTCGTGTTCAATCAACTTTGTACCCACTTTGGAAAGTGTTGTTGCTTTCTTGAAGATGTTCGAGAAAAGTCGTCAAGAACTGATGGCTTGGTTGAATTGCAAAAGAAGTTATTATCTGAAATAGGAAATGTCGCAGGAACAACAAGCATCAATGAAATTGACTATGGAATGAAGAGAATTGAAGAAACACTTCGCAATAAGAAGGTCTTCATTGTACTGGATGATGTTGATAAAAGTGAACAAGTGAAGAAATTAGTTGGAAAAGGTGCTTTGTGTTCAGGGTCTAGAGTACTGATTACTACTAGAAACAAGGATGTTTTGCAAATCACTGGACCAAAGTACGATATATTAGATTATGAAATGGAGGTGATGAGTAGTGATTATGCGCTTCAGCTCTTCAGCAAACATGCATTTAAGAAGGACTCTCCTTCGGATGATCGTTATGATATTTCAAAGAAAATTGTATCTACTACCGGAAGACTTCCTTTGACTATTGAAGTAATTGGTTCATTTCTGTTCAGACAAACTCAAGAACTATGGGAAGAAACATTGGACAAGTTAAGCAAAGCACTTCTAGAGGATGTTTATAAAAAGTTGAGGATTAGCTTTGATGCATTGACTTTTGAGCAACGACAAATTTTTCTGGATATTGCATGCTTTTTCATTGGTGAGGAAAAGACAAATGCAATTCATATGTGGAGAGATTGTGACTTTTTCCCAATTAGTGGAATTGCGGTCCTCAATAACATGTCCTTGATAAAGATTGTAAAAGACAATAAGTTTTGGATGCACGATCAACTTAGAGATCTTGGAAGGGAAATTGTTCGTCAAGAAAATCCGACGAATCCGGAAGAGCGTAGTAGGTTATGGATTCAAGAGGAAGTCCTCAGCGCAATAAGTTCAAAGAAGGTAGAATGCTTCACGAGAGCACTAATAGATTCTCTTTTTTCCATATTATCCTCGAGGATATAGAATGCTGATAATCACTCATTCTTGCTCTCAATTGCAGACGAAGAACAATGTTCGAGCAATTGAACTCAATCTTGATGTCCCTATCAGAAGCGAAGAGATTAGAAAGTTTGAAAATTTGAGGTTCCTTAGATTACATTTGGGAACCTTTGTTGGTGACCTAACGGATTGTTTTCCCGAATTAAGATGGATTTATTGGAGATATCCTTCTCCACCATATGAGATGACCAATATGCGCTTAAATAATCTAGTCATTCTTGAATTTTCTTCAGTTCACTTTATAGATGATCAGAAATTATTTAACTTAATAAAGGTGCGTCATATGCTTATTTCTATTCTTTGCCCTTGAAAGCAACATTTGAATTGCTCTTCCTTTAGATAATGCATTCACTTTTTACAGGAGGCAAGAAAATTGAAAGTTCTTAGTTTTGAGAATTGTCAAGAGATAACCAGAATACCAGATTCATCAGGATGCTCAACTTTAGAGAGGCTGACTTTTCGGGGTTGCCATGGTTTAGGGAAGATTGACGGCTCTATTGGGAAGTTAAAGTGTCTAAAAGAGTTAAAGTTTGATGATTGCCCTCAGCTTAAAGGTTTGCCTGAAGAAATCATGGACCTACGGAATCTAGAGCGCTTCTCTTTAAAGTGTTTTTTTTTTGGTAAGTGTTGTGAAATGAAGGAACTACCAGATGCCATATTTAAGTTGAAATCATTACGGAAGTTGAAGGTTTCAATTTTAGGTCCAGTGGGGTTACTGGGTGCTATCGGAAAGCTGGAGTTATCGGGTGCTATCGGAAAGCTTGAGAATCTGGAAGTGCTTCGGGTTAAAGGAAATTTGAAAGGTCAAATTCCTTATGAAATTGGCTTGCTTCCGCGGCTGCAAAAACTGGTGTTAGAAGAATGTTATGAAATCCGAGAGTTGCCGGCACTCCCAATAAGTCTGACCCATCTGACAGTGCCATCTACATCATTGCAGGTTGTTCCGGACCTCTCAAACTTGACTAATTTGGTTGAGTTGGACCTAAGTGACAACTTTCACATGGGCAGAATGTCTACCAGTGACTTCAGGTGGATTGGTAGGTTCTCTAACATGGGCAGACGAGATAGAATTCTTACCGGTGACTTAAGGTGGATTGGGAGGTTATCCAAACTGGAACAGTTGAGATTGGGTCTCCCCCATGTCCCTACTCCCACTGAGTTGGCTTCCCTTCCTAAGCTTAACCGACTCCTTTTGTCTGGATTGGACCTGCAAACCTTCACGCAAGTTCCCTCTTCTCTATTAGAGCTAACCCTTGAGAATTTCAATTCAATCGCGTTACACTCCTTCAACCTGAAGAATTTGTCAGATTTAAGGCTCTTTTGCTCTCAAATGCAAGAGATTCAACTCGATGGGCTTCATGTTCCAAATTTAACAATGCTTTACGTTGAAAATTGTGGACCCCTCGAGAGATTCATGCTATCCAGCATGAGGAAGCTAAAAGAGGTCGCCATGGGTGAGTGCCCAAAACTAGACGAGATCCACATTGCCGGGGTGTTGGAATCGTTGGAAAAATTGAATATTTTTGCCTGTGAGTCCTTCAGAAGGTTCGTGTTCGTCGACACACATTGGGAATCTTCTCATGAATCTTCACTAATCCTTGCATCGAGAGTCTTCAATAAGTTGCGGTGTCTCTGGCTGCAGGATTGCGATAAGATACTCAGTATTCAAGTTGTTGGTATGTCAGAATCGTTGGAAGACTTGAGATTTTATGGTCATCATTTGCAAAGTGTTTGTGGTTTGTCAAACTTAAAGTACCTCAAGTCCTTCGACATAGATTCCGCCCCTGAGCTACGGATTGTCGAGGGCCTCGATGAGTTAAAGTTCTTGAGCAATTTGCGACTTATGGCGTGCTTGTCGTTGGAAAGTTTGATTGATGTATCGACCACCCAATTGCCAAATGATTGCCATGTATATATCTTCTGTTGCCCGAAATTACGTGGGGTTAAGCAAGGATTCACTGGCTCCATCCAGCGTTTCAAGCGTTACAAGGTGAGTCAAAAAAACCATCCACAAACATGAATTCAACTTTAGGCAGATTTATAATAATCGTGGAAAATAAAAAAACTATCATACAAACATGAATTAAACTTGGTCTCGCTTACTTTATAAGCCAATTGACACATGTGATGTTTTCTCTCTCTCTCTTTTCCCATTTTTTGTATATGAGAATGTTTCATAGTTAAGAGAAGTCTAGTTTTTATCGCAAATGTTTGGAAAACTTCATATTGTCGGAGATATATATAAAGAATAGCTTAGAGCCTATTATTAAAATGTTTTCTCGTTTTATACGAACCGAATGGTTTTACTTGGCATTTTTTCTATGAAATGTACTTCACTTTTTTGTCTATATATTTTAATTAAGACCATTCATTATGAAGATGAATTCCGTGATTTGCAATATTTACGACAAGTGCATCATAACTCCTAATACTAGTCGAGAAAGTGTAATTGAGTACTAAAAGTTATTAATTTGGTGCAATCGAGTCTCTTTCTTAACTTCGTCCAATTTGGTTAAAAAAAAATGCTGAAGATGTATTTTTTATTAATTTCACTCTCCTACATGGTATAGAGCTTAGAAGAAAAGGTCTGTCTGCAAAAAATGTCTGTCCGTTCAAGGTTTGCCCCAAATTTCCAAGCCCTAATTTAGCTTTCTTCTCCAGTTTTCTTTCTTCACTTCTCCTTATTCGTTGAGTTTTCTACTCAAGTTCTCCTCACCTCTTCATCAGTCTTTCTTCGTGGAGTCTGCTGCTTATTTGTCGATCGTCTTGTTCTTCGTCCGAGTGTCCCCCTTCTTCTTCTTCGTCGAGTCCTTGCACAACTACTCTATGAGAACAACGATGAACGTCAAGTCGTCTTCTTCCGAGCCCGACGGCATGAACAAAGGTGTTAAAATCCCCTTTTCTTGTATTTTACTTTCGTCCCTATGGAGATATGGTAACTCATTTTGAGGTGTTTTCTCTTGTGGACTACATAGGTCTGAAGTTTGGGAATGATGTCAATGAGTAAATGCAGACACAGAAAGTTCTTGCGATCTTACTAGTCTTAGCAAAATAAAAGATGGGATCGTCCAAAACAAAACGAAAGAAAAGACACGAATTGTCTGCATGATTTTGTTCGGGTTAATTAAGGCGGGAGCAATTATATTTAATGCTCAATTTCGCGGTTTTCTGCTTCAGAAACATGCTAAAAATTATTGGGGATTTGGCTTCATTATCTTGCATAACGCACTTTGAAATTTTTTGAAAATTCAATTTCAAATTATTATGAATACATCTTTTGTCCTGGGGAGTCAAAATAAAGGTGTCATCTTTAGTTCAAGTGCTATTTTTTCACTTAGAATCTCCAGAATATCCAATTATTGTGCAATTCCTTTAGTATTGTATTTGGGACATTTTCAATTTAGAGCTTGAATTAGCCTACATAATTTAATTGACTACCTAAAGTGTTAATTATTTTTGGAGAGCCAATTTTCAAGGACAATCTGGTCTGAGGTGCTGAAACTTCTACTGGTACAGGACCATTTGTGCTTTGGGTAAAAAAAGCATGTTTTTGTTGTTACAATCATCAGCATTAGATAGAGACTTAGGGAAGACGGTATTCCTTTTTCTTCTTTTGCGTTGCCAAATTTGTTGCTTGGAGCCCTTCAGGCAATGAGACTAAAACCTGGATAAAATGTGTTCGTTTATGAGTCTTAAAATTGGTCTAGTCAGTTCTTTGTCAAATCGAATTTGAGTAGGGCCAACATGGTGGTAATTAGGCGTCCTTCCTCTGGTGAGGCCGCGAAAATGGTGATATACAATGCCATGGGTTTTGTTAATGTCTCTGGTTTTTGCAGGAGGAAGAGAGTGTGCCGGCTGCATTCACAGACCCATTGATGGTTTGGCATGCAGAGGGCAGTGCACAAGAAGGAATGCACCTACCAGGAAATATGGAGGAACTCCTGGCTCCATCTGAGGTAACTTCCCGTCGGTAGACTAGCCGTATGCCTGAAGTTCGAACACTTGGTTTGGTTGCATTCAGTGGGGACTGTACTGAAGTTTAAATGCTTGGTTTATTAGTATTCCTCCTGACAGCCAAGATGGTGGAATATACTTGGTTTATCAGTGGGGACTGTACTGAAGTTTAAATACTTGGTTTATCAGAGATCATCAGGTTTCTGTTGCTTGCTTGGACTCACTTACTTTAAAAGCCAATCGACGCATGTGGTGTTTTCTCTTCTTTTTTTCTTTTTGTATATGAGAAAGTTACATAGTTGCAGTAAGAGAAGTTCAGTTTTTGTCACAAATGTTTGGAAAAACTTCATATTGTTGGAAATATATATAGAATAGCTTGGAGCCTATTATCTAAAATGTTTTCTCGTTTTACATGAAACGAATGGTTTTATTTAGCTTTTTTTCTACGTAATATACTCCATTTTTTTGTCCATTTCTTACTTAATACCAATTATTATGACGATGACTTGCATGATTTACGATATTTACAGTGAAGATAGAACATGAGACTTACAAAAACTGCAATTGAGTCATTAAACTTGTCAATTTGATATAATTGAGTGTCTTCTTTAACTTTGTCCAATTTGATTAATGGAAAATGTTGGCGGCGCATCTTTTTTTCATTTCTCTCTCCTAAGTGGCGTAGAGCTTTAAAAAAGGGTTTGTCTGCAAAAACATCTCCTTTTAAGGATTTCCCCAAATTCCCAAGCCCTAATTGAGTTTTCTTCTCAAGTTCTCCTCACCTCTTCACCGGTCTTTCTCGTCCATAGTGTACTTCTTGTTCGTGGAGTCCGCTGCTTATTTGTCGATCCTCCTGTTCTTTGTTCAAGTGTCCCCCTTCCTCTTCGTCGAGTCCCCAAATTTCCTCTGCATTCGAGCGTGATGACGTCGAGTCCTCGCACAAGTGCTCAATGAGGCCGACAACAACGTTGAGTCCTCTTCATCCAAGCCCAACGGCATGAACGATGGTGTTACAAGCCACTACATCGAGCTTAATCCTCTTTCTTGTATTTTTCTTTCATTTAGATGGAGATATGTGAACTCATTTGAGGTGTTTACTGTTGTGGAATGAATAAATCTGAAGTTTGGGACTGATGTCATTGAGTATATGCACAAGCACAGGAAGTTCTTGCGATCTTATTAGTCTTAGCAAAAAGACACGGATTGTTTGCATGATTTTGTTTGGGTTAATTAAGTTGGGAGCAACTATATTTAATGCTCAATTTCGCGGTTCTCTACTTTGGGAACATGCTAAAAAAATTGGGGATATGGCTTGATTATTAGCATACCGCCCCTCCGAAATTTTTTGAAAATTCAATTCCAAGTTATTTTGAATACACCTTTTGGCCTGGGGAGTCAAAATAAAGGTGTCATCTTTACTTAAAGTGCTATTTGTACAATGAGAATCTCCAGAGTATCCAATTATTGTACGATTCCTTTAGAGCTTGGAAAAAGCCTACATAATTTACTTGACAATCTAAAGGGCTATTTATTTTTGGAGTGCCAACTTTCAATTACAATGTGGTCTGAGGTGGTGAAGCTTTTACTGGTACAGTTACGTTTGTGCAATGGGTAAAAAAAACATGTTTTCAGTGTTACAATCATCAGCATTAAATCGCGACTTAGGGAAGCTGCTATTCCTTTTTCTTCTTTCATGTTGCTAAATTTGTTTCTTGGAGCCCTTCTGGAAATGAAACAAAAACTTGGATGGAGTCTGTTTCTGCTACTCATTTATAACTTTTGATGCCTGGGTTGAGTCTTGGTTTTAGCTTCTACTATAATTTAGTCGGTTGTGTACGTGAAAATTTCTTAATTTAGCTAGATTGGGAACAAAACCAGTTTTCATAAAAGTTGTGATAAACCTAACAAGATTGAGTGTATTTATGCATACGCGGATTCACATAGATGAAATTCATTAACCTACTTTCATAACTGCACTAGATAGAAAGGGGGAAAAGGAGGAGCAGAGCCTCTATCTACTTGATTTATAAGTAACCTGGTCATTTTCTGGTAATCAGATATTGTTTCTCTTTCCAAGGAACTTATCTAGAGCAGATAAGGCGCCACGCCCATATCATATCTTACTAATCTTACGGACCAAGTAAGGTGCAAGTCGAAGATTGGTGAATGGCTTAGTATAAAATTGTTTGCATTTGGTGGTGCGAGAAATGGAACTCATGTGATTGTACCGAATCTGTACACACAATCTCTTTCCTTAATCACTATTTTATTTATCTTTCACATGATATTGTTTCCTATCATATATAGATCATTTCTCATATTTTAATCTCGAGGAATGCAGTTAACCTATATATTTGACTCTCGTCAGTATCCTTTCGAGGAATTTAGAACATCTTCGATCTATTCCTTGTATATATTATACAATGACAAATAGATTGAACACAGTAAACATAAGTTGATAGGCATTATTGCTTGATTTGACAGCATAGTTTAATTATGCTATTTTTATTCTGAAACTTACTCGAAAGATTGATTGTGATTTTATTTGTCAGGAACCACAGGAGCCAAGCTCTGTCGGGACTTGTACATGTTGTGGAGGCTTGTTTTTCTTTTGGTCGAAATTTGGAGGCTTGTTTTGTTTTAAAGACCACTAGCGTCATCCTTGTCGGCATGCAGGGAAGGAGGTAGCATATTATTTAGTGGGCCGATGCACTAAAGAGTTTAAGATAAGGTATTTCATTAAATAAAATAAAAAAACCATAAAGGTGCAATCGAGCTATAAATTGATTTGAAGTAGTTTGTGGATGCAAAGTTTAACTTGAAATTGATGATTTGATATTGAATTGTTGAGTACGACAAATTCGGTTTCTCAATGCCATGCACGAGTTCAACTCTATATAGTCTACATGCTTGAGATTAAACTCAATTTGTTTCAATTATTCAAAACTTAAAAACTAAATCACAATGTCACGCCTTGCACCCCGAGCACGTGACAACCCATATTCACTTTGGTCATTTTCACGCAACGTCTTAGAACTCATCGCTGACCCATTGATTTTAAATCCAGAGATGCGCAAGCGGAAGCAATATGTTGAAAACACATCCTTGACACATCAAAAGGGATATAGCTAGGAACAACAGCAGCACTTCATACGAATGCATCCGAGTTACAAACATAAAGGAACCCATTTTTACAGCTCAAAAGAATTAGGGGTTGGGTTAGCCTAGCGCCTCTACTCCAGCGGGCGTCCAACACAAAAGATGGGTATGGCCCACCCGGCTTACCACATTAGCCAAACTGCTACCACAGAAACCCAACATCAAACTCCCTGGTTTGAACCTGAAAAAGAGGTTAACAACGACGAATGAGATAAAAATCTCAATGAGTAATTCCCCTGAGCCTCGACTAGGAAAGCAATTTGCCTCGGGCTTCTATCGTACCGTTCAATCTCTCACATGCCAATCTCAATCTCGCGTGTGCCAACTCATGCAAGGCATTAAAATCACGATCCGACACGTACCATATTAGGTACTCTAGTCACGACGACATGCCAGACGACCTCACAGGCTCTCAAGCCAGAACAGCATGCAGGGCCCATCACGACAGGCACACGAGCCAAACCGCACGCACACCATGCGCTCAACCTAGACACTTCCACAACGCAATTCATGCGGGGTACTCAATCACACGTGTCCAGATTATTATTATGCCAACCCATCACGTTGTTTGGCCTTCCGGCATGACCGGCATCGTCCCGCTCCTTCGGCGACGGCAATATCCTGCGTTCAACTACACATCAGGATGGCTTTCCCCTAAAGGGACTACATTTCGAAATCCATCCGCAAATGGCATCATCGTCCCGCTCCGTCGGCGACGGCAATGTCCCGCATACATCTACACATCAGGACGGCATTCCACAAAAGGGACTACGTTCCCAAATCCATCTGTGAACGGCTACCGAAAACTGTTCGATCTACCGGATCTCTCCTGGCATCCCGTACCTCGTAAACTGTACAAGTATGGCTTCACTTAAACTGATCACACGGGCACACTCATACCCAAGCCCATTATTATCTCCAGTCTTAACCAATGCAGGGTGTTCAGTGCTCACGCTAAGACCATCTATTTCGCACGCGAAATGGTACATATAAATCACACCAGGCCTACCTTTGCCTTTGCCTTTGCCTTTGCCATTCCAATATCCACATCATGGCACTCAATAATCACCACAGACTATCCAAAGCATAATCAAATGCTAATCAAGCAGTTCGCACCATCCAATGCACAGTCAATTCTCATATTTATCACAAGCACTGATGAATTTATAAATAAAATCCAACAATCATCATATATTCACATAACCATGCAATTCTCATCCAATCAACCATAGGATTGAGACCAATTCGTTTCCAATTATCACGTAGAAGATATCTTAATCAATCGTACGCGAACCTAATTAGAAACTATGCTATAATCTATAAATTTGTCCCATAAAATTTAATATTTAATAAATAAATTATTGACAGACTAATATTAAAAAGGGATATTAATAAATCATTTTCCAAGATAAGCTATCCACAAATTCATTTAATCAACCGATAAGTTGTCATTATAGTAGTAACTAAATCCGATAAGCTATCTATGATAGGCTATCCGCCTAATCTAAGCCATTAGCTCCGCTTATCGCATTTTTAAAACAAAATATCTCCTTAATTAACTCCATTGAACAATACCATAAACAATAATACGCGAACCTAATTATAAATTAGGCTTTAATCCATAAATTCACCTCGTCGATTTAATATTAGTAATTAAACTAATTACCAAGGTAATACTAAAAATATGTTAAAACGGACATAATTAATTTAATTATCCAAAACTAGCTAACTAACCACCTAATTAATCCACCTTATCCACTTAGCACATATAACCTAGTTTAACCATATAAATTAACCCATAATCTCATATTAGCACATATTATGCATTTAAATTAAATAAACTAACTAAACGCAAATTAACCGTCCTAATCCAAGACTAGGGGGTAAACTCACGGTTAGTCCACGCAAAGCTCTGGCGACGGCACGGCGACAACTTCGGCGACTGCAACGGCGACGACAACTCTCCGGCGAGGCCTGCGACTCCACGAGGGCTCGGCATGGCGAAGAACACCGGCAACCAGCTGCTGTCCACGGCTATTCCGGCGAGGGACGGCGACGGTTGGCCGGCGACGGCTTCGACGACGCATGGCAGGGCCCACGGCTCCACGAAAAACTCGTCGGCACGACGAAACGACACGGACGACGGCTGGTCAAGACCGAGCAGCGAGGAGAAGAGCTGCGGCGGCGTCGGCTGGTCGCGGTGGCCGGCTAGCTCGCGGTTGAAGCGGCGGCGAGCGGCTGAACGGCGGCCGGCGACGCACGGGGGACCAGCAGCAGCGGTTCACGGCGGCTGAGTGTCCACGGCTGAGGGGGAGAAGGAGCGAGGGAGAGAGACCGAGGGAAAAACGGCGGGGCTGGCGGCGGGCTATGGCAGCGCGGCGGAGGGCGACGGGCGACGCACGGCGAGCGGCGGTGGACGGCAGCAGCTGCGGCGGCGGCAAGGCGGAGGCGGCGGCGGCGGCTTGCGGCGAAAAGAACAGCAGCTTCCCGACCAAAGAAAGAGAGAGAGACGGGGTGGCTGGGCTGCTGGTCTGACGGCGAGCCGGGGCGGTTGGCCGTCGCGCAGCTCGGCTGGTCCGCGGCGGAGGGCGACGGCGAGCTGAGGCGGCGACGGCGAACGGAAAGGCAGAAGCGGCTCGTCGTCCTCAATCCGAGAAGACAGAGAAAGAGAGAGAGCAAGGGGAGCCGAGACGAGGGCGGTGGCTGGCCGGCCGGCGACTCGCATGGCGGCGCCCAGCTGAGGCGGAGGCTGCAGCGCGACGGCGAGCGGCGGACGGTGGCAGCACGGCTTCGGTTCGCCCAGCAACCGAAGAAAATAAGAAGAAGAAAAAAGAAAGGAAGAAGAAGAAAGGGAAAAAGTGCGTGCGGGTGGAGGGGCCGCACGGATGGGAAAGGAGGGGAGGAGAGAGAAATGAGGGGGAAAGACCAAAGCGCCCTTAGTTCGAATTTCAAATTACTAGGGCCAAAAATGCAAATACCGAAAGTTGATGGGCTAAAATGGAGAAGGAGGGGCTTCAAGGGCAGAGGCACGAAGTGAAGCAGCTTTCCCAACCCAAGACATAGTTTAAGAAGCGGAATGGGGCAAGGCCGTGGAACCGCCATCTCTTTTCATTTGTTTTGGCTATTACCAAACCTAGCCTAGCCTTCGTCAATCACACTAAAGCGGAGCACCCAACTATGGCAAGGCCCCATCCTATAAGGGTTAGGTTAGTCAATTTGGCTCAAGAAGCGTTCGTTGACAAAACCGCCGTAGGAATGGAGACCTTTAAAAGGCATTTTGGGTTGGATCTACAACCTGCTCAGGTGAGGCTCAAGTAAATTTAGATATCCAATAGTGTAAATCACTTCCAACCTTAGACCTTTAGACTGGTAGATTTAACACCTACTAATGTTGCTCAGAAAAAAAAAATGAAAAAGGCCTCTATATCTGATTCCATAAAACAAGACTCAGACTTAATATTGGGTATCATTTATAATAACCTTTCTAAGACATTGCCATGTCTCTCTTTTTCTTTTTTTTGGGATTTAATTAGGAAGATATTGGGTGGATTCATTTAATTATATTAGTCCTATTCAGTATAAGCAGGCAGTTCAAATGGCAACAATTGGGCATCGCTGAAGTTTTGCTAAGTGTCTGCTTTAATGCCCTTATATAGCTTCCTTTGGCCAGCGAGGTGGACTTGGACGCTACAGCTCATGATGTGATCTATCTAATCATAATCAGCAGTTCTTCAAGCTCTGCTTTCAGATGCACAGCTGCAAGCGGAGAGGGATCAACATGGGAAGAAGCCAGTTATAACAGACTCTCTTCCGAAGTCTGTCGCATCAAAGGCGAGCCCATCGATCTCAGATGCCGAGAAGAGAAGACTCCATACAAATTCTTTTCATTCTTTGAATTCCATCATCTCTCCCCAAAACTACAGTCGCGCATCTCCAATCAGAAAATTCAACTGGGGATTCTGATAGTTGCTTATTATGCATCTTTGTACATCAGTAGATCATTGATGAGCATACCTCCTCTGAGTAGTCTACTTGGCCTCATAATTTATATGACTATTAACCTTGTGAATCCAATAATGTGCTTAATCCTTGCAGTAACATTCTCGTAAGGGGTTGTTGATGTTTAGAGTCAGAGAGAAAACAACGACAAAGTGTTTATGGTGGCTCAACCCTAATTAGGGTTGTATGATATGTATTTATAGGAGTGACTAATTACAGAAAGGGTACACATATAAACATAATTACATAAATACCCCATAATACATATAATTATACATTAATACTCCCCCTCAATCCGAAGTAGGTGTAACAATTGAGAGATTGGATCTTAACAACGCGTGACGCGGACTAGGTAGTCCCTTGGTGAAGATATCTGCCAATTGATCTGTTGTAGGCACGTAGCGGACATGGAGATCTCCGGAAGCAACCCGTTCTCGAACAAAATGGTAATCCAACTCAATGTGTTTGGTGCGAGCATGAAACACAGGGTTGATAGCAAGATAGGTGGCAGAGATGTTGTCACAATAAACGGTGAGAGGATTATAAAGGGGGACCCCAAGCTCACGAAGTAAATGACGAATCCAAATAGTCTCAGCAACACAGTGAGCGACAGCACGATACTCAGCCTCTGTACTAGAACGGGCCACGGTGGGTTGCTTCTTGGCACTCCATGAAACAAGAT